TTCATTTGATTTATTTGCTTTATTTATTTATCTTCAATTTATTTATTTTCAGACAAATACGTCTTGCCACCGGTGTGGACGTTAATATGCGAATTGGTGTCCATACAGGATCAGTGCTATGTGGAATCCTTGGACTACGAAAATGGCAGTTTGATATTTGGAGTGATGACGTCACATTAGCAAACCACATGGAATCGGCAGGAGTACCGGGGTAAGACAAGTGGCAGCGGGCAAAGATTACAAGCGCATACACTAATACCATAGACGAAAATCATCGTTGATCACTCCTTGTTGGGATGCGGCACGGGTTCCACTTCCATTCAGGATCGTAGCAGCTTATCGAGTATGATGTGGCCTACCAAATTATACTCGATATCCCTAGGATCGGGTAGGCGTGGCCGCATGTTTCAACTTAACCTGAAGGTGTCTATGCTTCTGGTGAGATATTTTCATCTTGACACAATTGTTGTCGTGTCTCTGTCCAACACAGAACAAGATGACAGTTGTCCCAGACTGGAATATTCCACGAGTAACCAATTCCGTGCCATGTTCAAATGCCGTGCCTACTTCGGCTCAGGGATAAGGAGTGTAACTGCGGGGGCTGCACGTGTACACGTACGATGTCATGTGCCCATCCTCTCAGGCGGATCTGGTACCAATTCACTGTTCCTGTGGTTGAAAGCTTGATTGACCTGAGCGGGAGTCGATCCAGGATCTGCTCACGTGTGTGGGCGTGCCCTTTGCTACTACACGACTTGTCTATGAACCTGAGGTAAGTAAAAGAGTGGGGACAAGCTCTTTTGTAGGCGTCCTTAGGTTGCTACTTGCTTGCACCAGACAGTGCGTGCATAGGGCGCGTGGTAGGAGATCGGCAGCGCTAGCCTTACGTGAGCGGCACTAGCACTTTGTAATAAATCGCTGGCAATGAGTATGTCAAATTAGCTAGCTAGGAAACAGTGGCTAGTTGCTGCTCGTGAAAAGATGAGGCTCCTGAACTCTGCGCTTGCAGTTCAACGCTCAGAGGACCTGTCATCCATTCTGATCCGTAGCATTGCTAGGACGCATGGGTAGGGTATAAACTGGATGCAGTTCGGTGTACCAGAAGGGTGAAGTGGAGCCCGGCGGCGCTGCGTTTTCTACCTAAGGTCGCGATCTGAACAGTGCCACAATTGGTGGGAAGCGCGGTCGCTGCCGGGCTCCTGTCTACTTGTTGGACACGCCCCGCCGTATCCAGTTGTATGCACTACATATTTAGCCCTTTATGATTCCGTAGGAGAATTCACTGTTGAAAGAGTCGTGTTTCTGTTCCAGCGCAGGTCAAATCGTACTCAGAAAACTATACTTTAGCATTGAGCGAAGACATTCCCTGTCTTGGAGGTTTGCAGTACGCGAGGAACGTTCAACCTGCCACGGAGCAGGCATGGACTGACCGAAACCTTCAAAATATTCTGGAATATTACCTTTGCTTGTTATCAGTGCGCAGATTTCAGGGCAGTGCACATTACAAAGACAACAAAAGACATGCTGCTCAGTGACATGTAGTTGGACGCACCAGTTGATGCAAAGTGGGTGCTCACTCTTTTTCAGAATTTCTTTCGTTTTTTATTCTCAGTTCAATACTTCTACTTGCAGGCCTCACTTATTCTGGTTATGTCAAAACATTACCGTACCTTTGTAGGTTACCATATCTTTTCAAGGTCTGACGATCCGCATGTTTTGGCCTATGGTGAACCTACATACCATATTCTCCCAGACAAAACGTCTGCAGTCGAACGAACTGCATCCATCTACAAGAACAGGTAGTTGGATATTTAACGTGATTTAACCAAACTAAAAAAACTAACTGGAACCAAAAATTGAGGGACCACTAGAAGAGCACATTTTTTGTATTCCAGAAGATCGTTGGGCCTTTGTGACGGCGAAAAAACTCTCACACTTCCAAACAACGCTACCGTAGTTCAATGCAGGCACAGCATGAAGGCCAAAGTTGGTAGCTCTGTCTTCATTATTCAATGTCTTCTAAAAGATTCACCAATACTTCTAAGGTCTCAAAAATGGTCGAGTTTTGGGGTGCGGAAACTCCATTTGCTAATTTCAATCGTAAAAAATCGTCTACCTGCTTTGAACCTGGCCTTATGACGGTGGGTTTCGAAGAAATTGATTGATTGCTTTGTAGTCTTATAATGCAATTGCCAGGAGCATTTGGTATCATTGACGACCTATATATGGGCTCCATTTCAGGACGAAACTCCTCGTCGACCTAACTACAGCAATACTATCCAGTCGATGACACTGATTGAGAACAGTCTCACAAACTTCTCTCTGAACAAGTGAGATAGTAAGATAGCTCTTTGTTCTCTTGAGGGCAGTGGGCACGATCGTTGAGAGCGGAAAGTTGTCGCCAACGTGTTTGGTGGGGTGTGGGTGAGGTGTGACAAGGCGCTCTCTCACA